TAATTTTAGGCTGAGTCGACCTAGGGGAGGCCCAGGACCGGTTCAGATAATCGTCACTGGTGCTGCGGGAAACGAACCCGGGTCGCCAGGTTGGTAGCGCGGCGCGCTGACTGCTCCACTGCACACAGCGCGCTGACTGCTCCACTGCACACAGCACACGCGCGCACACAGAGGGGCCAGGGTGAGTGCCCGGCCAGAGTGAGACATCTGGGCCGCATTACAGGAGCGTGCGCCGCGCAAACAGATGGGAGAGCGTGCTCAATGCACCCCCCCTCCTCCTCTCTTGCTCCCCTCTCACTCCCCCACCTCCTGCCCCCCCCCTCCACTGCCAGCGTAATCATGCATCTGCCCGGCGTGTGCCAAACACGCGCTGCTTTAAAAAAAAACACAATCCGTAGCACGCAATTCGCCTAACACGATAAACGGGGAAGGAATGTTTTGTTGTTGTTCTAATCCTTCAAATTGCTCGCATTTTTTTCGTGCGGTGTTTTGTTGTTGTTGTTGTCGCTCGTTTTACTCTCCGCGAGGGGAGGAAGACCCAACGACGAAACAAAAAACCCCGCAGAAGATCCCCTCGCTTCGATCTCTCTCTCGCCACGAAGCTCACGGACCAACAACAACAACAACAACCACCACAACAACCACAACAACAACAACAACCACAGCCCCTGAACCGCATCCCTCCGCACACCGCAACCACGGCAGCCAGGGCCGCAGCGACATCCCACCGTGGCCCCCCACGGACCCCCCACAGACCCCCCTCGCCTCCCACCCTTCTCACGACTCGCCTTTGGCTGAAACAGCCTACGCACGTTTTAACCCGTCAGTGTACAACAATGTGTCGGCTATAACTATATCTGTGTTATTGTAGTCGCACCCTGTATTGGGGTTGAGAGGAAGACAGTCTCCCAGTGAGAGTATTAATACAAAATTAAATATTTGAAGGTACAATACTCGCAATTCAGTTATCGTGCGTCTTGGATTTCGTCAAAGGGAGTGGATCACGCAACTCGCTGCTGCTCTATCCACACAGCGGCCAGATGAGTTCATCGCGTTTGGTTCATAACCGACTCGCAGTTAGTTTGTAAATTAATATTCAAGATTGAATATTGTATTTATTTATATTTTTCATACTCTTTGGTTCTTTCGGTAAAGTCACGTAGGTATAAAATAAATTAAATCACGACGTTTCGATCGCAACACAAGCAATCATGATGATGATTGTGACTTTACCGAAAGAACTAAAGAGTATGAATCCCTGCAGTCACGAAAACTTCAAATCTAGATTGTATATTTCTACTTAACGTGTGTGTGACTTGTTCAGCTGTTGATTCGAGCCCGCCTTGTGGCCTCCTGGTCCCCTACGCGTCGCTGGACGCTGCCCCCCCCGCTGATGGCAACAGCAGTAGATGCGGATATTTGATGATGAACAAATATAGAACGATAAACTCTGCGGCGACCCTCACACTCACGATGTCTTATCGACGAAAGTAACCCCCCTCCGAAATGTGTAAAGACCACGGCATGAAGACGCAATGCTCGTCACAGCGACACGCTCCGCCAGCCCTCGACACAGCAGCCGTATCGGGTTCAGTCACCTCGATGTCAAAGTAGAGTTGCCCATCGACATCAACAACATCGGCAGCCGTGCGTAGAAGAAGAGGTGCCAGGATTTGAGGCCATTTGATGTTTGGATTTTTTTAAAGTTGAGATTCAACTCATTGCAGTGTACAGTTCACTAAACATTTTATCTTACCAGGTAAGGCCCACTGAGCTATATAGCTCTTTTTCAGAAGCGACCTGGCATTCACAAATGATAGCTCAACGAAGTGGCTTATCATGTGAAAATGTATATGAGCCACATCATCTTAACGCGTGTTTCTAAATGTGGACGAAAAAAACGACGGACCCGGAGAAAAATCCACGCCACCACGGAGAGAGAGATAGAGAGCGAGAGCACGCAAACTCCAAATATAGAGCAGGCGTCAGGGTCAGGCTCGAACCACGACCTTCAGACGAGGGTATGGAGGAGGGATCGAACCCCCGTCTCGCCTCTGCGGCGCCCCTGGGATTGAGAAGGTTGCGAGCGAGTTGGCAGGGAGCCAAAGTGATGCCTGTTGCCAGGATGAACACTATTGACTTTCCCATGTAGTTGTCCTCAGATTTGTATGTGTGTTGAACTTCTTTCGCGTAGTACGTAGCCAGCTGTGTTCGTTGGAGATGCAGAGGAAGGACAACAAACTAAACACCAACAGCAGTTCAAAAGAAATGAGTTTTCAATCGAGATGATGATTTAAAAGTGCACAGCTCCAGTGGCTTCCTAATATCGGAAGGAAGAGCGTTCCAGACGGCCGCAGAAGCGCATTTGAAAGCGGTGACCACCGCCGTCTTTGTTCGATGGCCAAAGCCAAAAGGCGGCGCTGCTGCTGCTGCTGATGCTGCTGCTACTGATGCTGCTACTGCTGCTGCTGCTACTGCTGCTACTGCTGCTACTGCTGCTGCTACTGCTGCTACTGCTACTGCTGCTGCTACTGCTGCTGCTACTGCTGCTGCTACGAGGATGGGCCGGAGTTCGCGCGATTGATGGTTTATGCTCCTTGACGAGATCCGCGAGGTGTTGTGGTTCATTCGTAGCAAGCGCTTTGTGTGTAATGAGTGGTCGACCTACCTCAGATTGATGACGGGCTGAGTCAACCCCCAGACCGGGGTTTGAGCTGGCAGCCTCCCCGACTGCGTCTCTCTGCCCTGACCACAGGCCCACCTGGTCGCCTAAGCAGCACGTTCTTCTGCCAGGGATTTGTGTAACAGGCAGTGATGGATGCGAGTCGTAAAATCCTTGGATCTGTATTGGCAGCGGTAGGGCGGTAGTGAAAGCTACACTTTACCATTCATATATATATATCAACTATATGTTTGGTTCTCGTTTTAAAGTTATCGTTCACGTCTTCAAGTATTTAACTGTTGCATTCCTGTAAATATGTGTTTATCTGATGTCATATTTTCATAATCGCCCAATTAGGGATCTTAGGAATCAGCAGCAACACCAGCAGCAGGAGCAGCTGGGTGCACGTATGTTGCTCGATTGTGTTCCTGAAGAAGGTACGTGGAGCGAGAAGTCGTACATCGTGCCGGACAACACGCGGTCCAGCCAGGAAGCCACGTTGGAGAGCGAGATGGCACACGTGAGTGTTCATTCACGCGTCTGGTTATGAACCCTAAATCACGGGTCGGCAAATAGAACAACACGGAGAGACGTTTGTTTCGAATTCGATTTAAACACCCTCTAAACTTCAGGAGCCGCAATGCAATGTGAATACGAGACAACAACATGGGGAGTCCTTCATCCAGCAGTGGAACGATCATGGCTGATCATGATGATGTTGAAGTCATTACCGGCAATTTCTGTTTGCGGGAGCGCGCAGTCGTGTAACCGCTCCGCCGCACACACGCGCTTGCCGCGTTCGACTGCCGTATTACGCGCGATGTAAAGAATTTGAAAACGACTCTTAAAACAATATAAGAGGGGAAGCGATTCGGTCAGCGGCGTGGGTGAATGTGAGGACAGCAGGCGCGAGCGTGCAGGTCGCAGCAGCCACGCAGCCGGCTGCAGCTACTCACGCACAGGACGGGATGAAGGTTGTGTAGGCCCCTGAAGTGCAGGTACTGTGAGCCCCCCCCCCCCCCCCCCCAGTGATATCTTCCTACTCGCTCCTCAAAAGTTCTCTCTCCTACTCGCTCCTACATTGGCATGAGCTGCCCCGCACATCTCTAAACCTTTATCAGCAGCCTGCCTCAACAGATTTCCCGCCTCCCTTTTCCTGCCTCTCTTTTTCACCTGAAGACGATTGCTTGTGTTGCAATCGAAACGTCGTGATTTTGATTTTCATTATTTTTTCTATCTACGTGGCTTTACCGAAAGACCCAAAGAATATGAATAGAAAAACAAAGTTAAATAAAAATATAATGTATTTTTACAAGGCTAACAACAAATAAAATCAGCATTCACAACTGAAATCACCTTTCACTTCATCTCTGGAGACGCTCCGGCTGGCGGAGGCCCCTGGACTGCAGCCCCTGAAGCCCCGCGCCTTGACCCGGCCCCGCCCGCCGAGGGCAAATATACACAGATAGTTGTTAATTGTCAGAAAGCAACCCCTGTGAATACCTTACCTGCTCCTGGGGGGGTGGGGGGGGGGGCTTTTTGGGTCAATATCCCGAGATCGGAGAGGATACAGAGAGGGAACTTGAACCACCCGAGCTGCCCCTGGGCACAGAGCCTGGCAAGAGAGAGAGAGAGCGGTGCCGCGGTTCATTATCCAGACTCGTCTCGGCAGAGTTCAAATCCCGGTCACCGGGGTCACCGGGGTCACATTCTCTCGGGGGTTGATAAAAAAATGAGCGTCGATCTGCGGGGAAGTCAACAGCGGTCGTTTCTTTTGTTTTGTTTTGCTCTATGGAGAGAACTGGCCCACGCCGTTAAACAAATGCGGAACTTCCACAACTGGTCCAGGGGCTGGCAGCAGTCGTGGGCATTCGCCCAACAACGCATTTGAAGAACGGGGACATTGCGATATTTACTATTCTTAATGATAATGATATTTAGCAGCCACCCATTGTCAATCCACTGCTGGATGAAGGCCGTGCCGGAATTGTTGGACCATACTTCACCATACTGGTCAGCGCGAGGTAGTGAAAAGGGGGGGGGTGATGGGGGGATGACACTGGACCAGTTCAGGTATCACTCGCCACACGTTCAGAGCGTCGCACGCTAAACGGTGCGCCACCACTTGCACCCCCCCCCCCTTTTTTAAACAACGTCGTCACTTTGACGAATCGTACAACCCCACCCCCCCCCCCCCTCTGAACAATAACAAACACGGCATTCGAAAATCCTCAACGTTCCCCAAACACACTGGACAAGCACATTCCATTGAGGTCCCCTGAGCCGCCGCCGCCACCCAACCCACCTCGGCACCATCACACCCCACGATTACCGCGCCACTTGGCGGGCTTCTTGTCACAGCTGGAAGTCTTCCGCCGCGATCCCCACTCCCTCCCCACGCCGAGCCCTGAACCCCTCCAGCCTCCACCCCGAGGGAGCGCTGCGTGGCTCCGCCGAGTCGGGTGGCGGTACTCATCACCAGATTACTCGGAATTTCCGGCCGGGACTTCATTTCACTGCCGGCCCGCTGGAAGGATGGGACACGCGCGCGCAGACGCACACGTGGTCAGACACAAAGTAAAACGCGTCGACCCAAGGCCGCCTTGGATTTTTATATACCGTGCGCAATCGCTGGCGCGTGTGTTTGTTTAACGTCGTGTCTGTGACTTTGTTTTATACGCTTATATGGGACTATCGTTAGTGGAAAAAGAACGGATAATACACGTAACACTTGTTCGCCATCGTTGTCAACACGTGCCTGGAATCTTCTCCAGGTGGTCTCCAGAGCCAGAAGGCACATTGCTTGTGGTGTTGTTGCAAATTCTCCGAAGTGTTCACGTTTTTTTGAAGCGCCCTGTATATGGGAAGCGGTGGTGTAGCGGTTAGCGCGCTGCGCTATGAACCCGGCCACCCGGATTCGATTTCCGTTCACGGCCAGCACCAGTCACGATTATCTGAACCGGTCCTGGGTCTCCTTTATGTCGACTCATCCTCAAATGAGTACCTGGTGCGATGTGTAAAACATTGGCACTGGGGATACAAAGGCGGTCGAGCGTGGTGCTGGCCATCCACCCCCTCGCGTGCCGTGCCGGCCTTCGTAGGTGCTACTCGCTAACAGCATTTGCTCCAACAGTCTGTTAAGGCTATACAGGGGACCTTTGTTGTTTGTGTAATTACATATGTATACAGACGCAGGGGTGGAGCGGTGGTGCAGTGGTGAGCACAGTGCGCGATCAACCTGGAAACTTGAGTTGCATTAACTTCACAGCTACGGCTATCGACAGTTGTCCCGTGGAATCCTGGGCACCAATCACTCCCCCAACTCTTCGCCAACGCCGCACTGACCAGAGTGGTGAAGTATGGTCAAACAGCCCCCATGACCGACGCGGCGTGGGGAGTCCTTCATCCAGCAGCGGATTGACAAAAGGGCTTTGAGTGAGAAAATTCATCGACAAAAATAATGTAATGTTTGCTTAAAATTGTGCTGCCCTTTTTGTGAAACAATATTTGATACGTTTATTTATTTATTATTTTACGCGCTTTAAAAGAACCACACGTGCTGAAACATCACCAATGCAGAATCTCCGGAGACTCGGTTCTTTGCTGGATAAATAAAGGGCGTATTATTATTTCAGAGTGTCTCCATCCTTAAACGAGGTTGGGACTGTGGGGCGGTGCTTGTTTGCTTTGGCAGGCATAAGCCAGTGGTGGACATTCCACGTTCCTATGGCAGGGGACGTGCTATTTTAGCGGTGGAGTCATGACACAGTTAACGCACGAAACTTTGAATCCAGCAGCCCGTTGTAAATGTACAGCCACGGCCCCTCCGATTATCACGGTTAGCTACGTACGGCGCGAAAGAAGTGCAACATCATACATACATCAGTGGCAAGTGATATCTGAACCGGTCCTTGGCCCCACCTTCACCAGCCTGCGCTGGCCAGCATGGCGAAGTATGGTCAAACCACATCTGCGAGCGACATGGTATGGGGAAGCCTTTATCAACACAAATAAATGACAAAGGGCTATAAATAATACCGTTTCGAGTGTATGTGATGAAAGAGTGCTGCCACAGATTTATATGCGAGCAATGCTTTTAATGTCACCGGTTTAGCGGTGTATGTTGTGTACTCTATACATTTTAGAGTCATATTTAGCGGAAGAGCGAGCGGCTCTGAATTGGAAAGTTGCCAGTTCAAATCCTGGTCCGGGAGTTGTATGTGTGTTGAATCAGCTGTGTAACACTGTGTGGAAGCTACCTGGCCTGTCGCTCCACACGAAGCTTCGAATCTCCTCGGTTGTAGTTACGGCCACAGTTATGGCCCCACCTCTCCCTGCGTGCGAAATGTGGACACCTCTAATGAAACATCTGCGCCGGTTCTAAACGTGTATGATTCACTTCTTTCGCACCGTACGTAGCCAACCGAGCTAATCGGGAGTCGCGGGGGAAGGACAACAAACTAAACACAACCACCACCATCCCTCCCGGAATCCATCAAACAAGCCGCACTTTGTGTAGAACTCTACGGTTGCCCTACGGTCAGTACCAGCCCTGCCACAGGAACGTAGAAGTTCCACAACTGGCTGTGGGGACTGAACACAGCAGACGAGGACCAATGGAATCCCGCGACGCTCACTTGCGCACACGAGCAGCACATTGTTGGCTCCGGCAGAGTGCCGCTGCCGCAGATTTCCCTTCGCGCTGTGCTGGTAATGCCCGCCTCATGGATTTACATTCTTGAGGTCGCCCCACTGAAGAATTGTATTGGAGCAATCACGGCCAAACGCCGAGCGGCGCCCGGCAGATGATAATCACGGCGAGCACCAATCTCTGGGGGCCGAGGGATGGGGACCCCCCCCCCCCCCCGCTGTGAGCCCTGGGCCGGGTGGGCGCGGTGCCCACGCGGCCCAGTGAATGAGGGCAGCTGCGGCCACAATTAGCGAGTTTCCAGTCCCACGCGGTGGCCACTTTTACCCGCCACGCGGAGGGAATCTGCGTGCGGGCCACTGGCGCGTGCGTGCGTGCGCGTGCGGCCGCACGCACGCGTGGGCTATAGCGGTGCTCTGGCTTCTCTCTGGCCTCGCAATAGAAGGCACTGGCTGAGTTTGGTGAAATCGGACCCATATCTATAAAGAAAGGGGTCCTTTTAATATCATCGTAATTCTCGTTGTAGTGCGATGGCTCAGAGGCACGAGGAGGAACCACGGACAAGCGGGAGGGCAGCAGCAGATACGCAGCGAGCTGCCACCAACTCTTTCCCAAGATCTGCGGCTCCTCTATCGACTGTTTTAAAGTGCTATTGGCCACTTGTTGAGTGTTCATCCGCATTGAGTTGTTATCGGCCTTAACCTATAAACATTCGGCAGCATGGCTTCACACACGCCTGGCCCTGCCGAGGAGAGTCTTGCCAAAACCGGTCCACAGTTTGCTTGCGTTTAGCCCTTGCCGCTGACATAACGCACTCTCAGGATGCAGTGCGGCTGATGGGATGTGTACAAAAATAGAAATACTTTTATTTTGACGAAATAAAGTTGGGGTTGGGATACTTCTCCACGTGGTCCCGTTGGCGTGCCGCGGGCTGTCGTCCATCCTCGACGTCCCCGAGTCTTTGATCGTCAACGCTTCTGTGGATCCTCGTTTGTTACGGAAGTGATGAGGCGCTTTTCTTTTACTGTGAAAGTTCCAAGGTTACTTTATTTGATCAGGTGAGAACTCGAGAGGGGAGGAGAAAAAATAGAAATCAGAGCAAAAACAACCAAATGGCAACATCTGAGAGCCATGACTCTTGTTAAATATGCCTGTGGATGTTGCATTTTTGTTTCAAGACTTCTCTGGGTTTCTCTGGACATGTGGACTAACTCAATTACAAAATACATAAATTACAGACATTTGTCAATCTACTTCTGGGTTCAGATATCACTCACAGCTGATGTCAGCCGTGTAAGGTGTGGGACTCGGGTTTCCGAGTTCGCTGCGCAAACCACTGGCATCACCGTTCCACCCGCGAAATGTATCCAGTGCAACATAATGAGTTCAACTTGTAATGTAGCTCCGTGTTCGCTCACTCTCGACGAGAGAGAGAGAACCACAGACAAGCTGGAGGGCAGTCATGCGATGAGCTGGCGCCAACAATTGTCCAAGATATGCGGTCCTCTATGCATTCAGGTGTTATCAGTCAATGAGTTTTTACACGTGGGACGAAGCCGGAGCACACACAGGAAGCCCACGCGTGCGAGGGGGCAACGCTCTATCCCGTACAGACACATTTGGTGGAATCCGCATTCTTGCTGTGCCGCCTTCTCCTGGCAAGCGAGGGATTGGCACCTCCTCGACGCCCACGGGAAGCGGGGAGTTTCACAACATCCGTGCCTTGACGAGCCACCAAACCTTCGCTGATGCCTTCACAGCGCCGGATTACAAGCAGCCACGTGCAGAGTAGCCAACCAGCGTCACGCGGCGGGACCGCACGTAAGTAACAAAGCAAAAGAACAACAACACCAACACGACGACTCCTACGCGCGTGTGAATCGCGAGATGAAAATTGCAACCGCAATTCTACGGATCCACGCGTCGTTACGCCCCGCGTAATGGCCGTGCATTACAAAGGAACCGCTCAACAAGTTAATCGGGGCCCTGGGTCGGCATCGCACATGACAACCTGCTCGTTGTTTCCCCAGCGCGCCTCACCTCTCCCAGCATGTAGCGTCAGTCCTGTTTCTTGTTACGCGGTGTTTTTGTTGTTTGCGATTCCCCACCCCCACGGGCGCGCGTTGAAGTGGCCGTGAGTCTCGCCACGGCAGCAGCGCCTTGGCCTTTGTCCTCGACGTCTCGTGGCCTCGCGCACTTGACCCCGGACGATCGGAGCGCACGGCGTGGACACCACGTGGAACCCGCGGATTGTTGTTTTCTAAAAACGAATTTTTTTTTTTTATAATTTTTACCAGGTAAAGTCCCACTGAGCTGTATCGCCTCTATTTCAGAGGCGACCTGGCGTCACAAACGATGGCCCAACGAAGTGGCTCATCGTCACGTGGAACTGTAAAGCAGCCAAATACTCTAAACGCGTGATGATTCTAAAATGTGGAGGGGGGGGGGGGAGAAATGGGAGGACCCGGATACAAAAAAAATCGACGCGACTACGGGGAGAGAGAGACACGCAGACTCTAAATATGCAGCAGCAGGCGTCTGGGCCGGGATCGAACCCACGACCTCCTGTAGACCGGGCGAGGTAGTTGACATCTCCCAGCCACTCTCGCCGCTCACGTGCGTGAGTGCGAGTGAGCCAGAGCGTCTCGTCGCACCCTGGATTCGTCCTCCGTCGGTTTGTCCGCGTGAGACGCCTCGTGGGTGGTGATCTCTGCGGAAGGAGGGTGTGCCGTTCAAACGCTGCTCTTACAAACTAAACTATTGTATAAATAAATAAAATGTATTACTAGGTAATGCCCACTGAGTTAGGAAGCTCTTTTTCAGAAGCGACCAGGCCACAAATGATAACTCAACGGAGAGGCTTGTCACGTGGAAATATACAGCATCCAAATACTGTAGAAGACACGTTACTAGTAACAAGCGAACTCTTCTGAACCAAACATAGCAACCGAATAAGATACCGAAAGATTAACGACTCCAGATGCAAGAGAGGTCATTGTTCCTGGGGAGGGACTGCATGATGATGGATGATGATGATATTAATGAGACCATCACTTAACACATTCCCATTGTGCTATCAGAACAAAGGCACGAGACGCACCGAGTTTGATACTTAAACCACCAAACTCGAGTTGTCACAACAAAGTGTCATTATTCATTGTTGGCTCGAGTTGGTTGCGAACTGGGGCTGTGAAGATCCGAATTCTCTCGACTGCTTTCGCCCCACGGGGCCGACTTGGAATTCCCTGCGTCGGAAAATCTCGCCGAGCAGAAAAACGTCACCAAACACGATCCGATCAAAATGTTAACTTTAACATTTAAAATCACACGGTTTGTGATATTCAAATGAATGTATTGATTAGGTTGTGAGCCGTGCTGGGCCAGGATTGGGCAAAGACGTTACCCACTTTTCACCCAGGCAACCAGAGAGTACAGGCCTAGGTATTTCTTAACCTATCACTAAACAAACAATGACACTTTAGGAACGGACGAGTACATTTTCTTCCATATCCTATTCATTGGAATCATGATTACAGAACGTTTGAATTGTATTATCGCTGTTGACAACCCACGAAGGGGTGCCGTTTCCTCAGCTGGTACTGATTTTACGCGCCCCAGAGGGACGATTATGATTGACTGATGGGATTTACACGCGGTTCTCAGTGAGTGGTCTACGCAGCACGCAGCCATCCCAGGCACGTCTCCGTGCGAGATGCTATCACACCGTACGTTTCTAACATTCCGGCATGAAAGGAAGACGAGCTATTGCCATTTCCTGTCCCTCGTGTGAACTCGAAAATCGCTTGGCATTCTCGAGTCATCTGGAGCAGCAGGCAGTGACGATATAAACCAAATAGGCAATTATTTAACTAAGTAGCAACTCACTCAGCGACCGCAGCTGCAACAGGCCACGCAGATTGAGCCCATAATCTCGATGGGAGTTGATAAAACTCGTACCACTTTGTGGGCGCGTGCGACCAATTTTCGCGTAAATGTGCCCGATGTCATCAGATCTCAGAAGCTAAGTCACGTGATCCCTGCAGCCGCTACATTCACAAGAATGTAAAAAAAAAATCGAGTCGGTTGTTGAATTGAATTGCGACGCTTGAATCTTTGACCACTTGCTTTTGTGGAACTCCACCAATAACGCGACGCAAAAAAGGTCGGAATTGGCTCCTTTCTGAATTTTATTTTTTGCAGAATGGGGCCGATTTTTCCAACAAAAACGGCCGTCATCTCCCCAAGAAGTGGCAGAGTGGGTTACCGAATAAATAGTTCCACGAATCGGGCGCTTTGTCAACTAAACTATTAAACTTAACTCTTTTTTTATTTGACCAGGTAAGGCTCACTGAGCTATATAGACCTATTTTTTTCAGAAGCGACCTGGCCACAAATTATAGCTCAACGAAGTGGCTTGTCACGTGTTAAACTTATCGCCACAAAAGCAATCCAAATAATAAAATAGACGCACGTTTCTAATTGTGGAGGGAAAAACCGGAGGACCCGGAGAAAAAAAAAATCCACGCGATCACGGGGAGAGAGAGACACGCAAACTCTAAATATACCGCAGGCGTCAGGGTCGGGACCGAACCCACAACCTCCTCCTGTATACCAGGCGAGGTATCTAACACCTCCAAGCCACCGCGGCTTTGTCTTTGACCAGCGCCGTTGCCCCGAGGCTGCGGGGATGCTCAATGGACATGAGAGGTGTGAGTGAAGCCTGGCATGTGGAAGCTTTCCCATACCGTACTTGACCCAACAAAAGGGCAGTTTTGAGAATTACAAAAAAATTCCTGGCTGGGCGGGGGGGCTTACTGCGAGACTTGGATATGGAGCTGTAGCACGCGGCCTCGTCCACCAGAGGGCGTGCCGAATCATCCACCCCCATCACGCCCCACGCGCGCTACGCTCCGTCGCTTTCGGAAAGTTTGCAAAAATAAATCTAAAATTCCCGTTCCACGGGGCAAGTTTACAAGACTCTTCACCTCTGAGATTTGCAGTGGAGTGCTCTGCTCTGAATTCCAGACGAGGTGTCTCCCG